GCATTTTTCTAAGTCTTTCAGACTTTTCTGCAGCCACAGTCCTCCAAACAGCAAACTTCAGAACCAGCACTAACAGAAAAGCTGTTAGTTCTGGCCACCCTTGGGACGACACAGTCTGTCAGAGCTGGAGGAGGCGCTCTCATGCTTTTGAGTAGTACAAACCTTCAGGCTTCTGCTTGAATATCTCTAGCAACAGGCAGCTCGCTCCTTCACAAAGCAGCCATAATCCCAGAGCTGGGCAGTTTGGAGGTCTTCCAGAACCAAGCTTTCGATCCCTGTGACATCTTCCTCAGAGGCAGGCCTTCAAGAGTCAGGTCTCAGCCTGTGCTTCTTCCCTAGTTCTCTTCTAAGCTGAAGGATCAAAATGCAGTCATTTGTCTGATATCATGGTTTATAGACTCACTAGCACTCTGACCCCCTCTTCCATGACTCTAGTTTATTCCCCTTAAATGGACTGTCCAGAACTGAATGTAGTATCCAGGTGTCTCCTGGAGAGGAGAAAAGAAAAGAGTACTGAGGCCCCTCTTCTCCGTTTAGCCACATATTTACTGAGTGCCTACTATGGGCCCTGCACACGCCAGGCCCTGGAATCAAGCAACAAGCTGAGAAACAGAGTTATCACCTGGAGATCTTATAGTCTGCGGGCAAAAACAAACACGAATAGTGTGAGGAGGTCACAGAGAACCGTGGAAGCTGGTAGCAGGGAGGCCAACCTCTACCTAGCCTGGAGTGGGGAAGGCTTCCCAAAGAGGCGTGATGTGAAGAATGAGTGGGCATCAGATAGGTGGGGAGAGTGGCATGAAAGGCCCAGAGCATTACAGGTAGAAGGACTGGCTGGTCTGAAGGGCATGAGGAAGGAGGGAGCACTGGGGAGAATGTTAGGGCCAGTGTGGAATACAGCGAGGGAGGCTGCCTGTGGCCTCCGGTGCATCTAGAGGGGTGGGGGGTGAGGGGAGACGGAGCAGATCACGTGGACTCATAAGCCAGGATAAGAGTGGCAGATCTTGTTCTAAGGTCAATGGGAAGCCCATGGAGGGCTTTAAACAGAATTGTAAAGTGGTCAAATCACATCAGAAAAACCCATTTTTGTGACCACAGTGTGGATACCTAAGTAGAAGGAGGCAAGGGTAGTTGCAGAAAGCCAGGCAGAAGATCATCCAGTGGCCCACGAGAAAGACACAGAGGCGGGCACGGGCGGTGGCTGTGGAGGTGGCCAGCAGTCAGCAGATTCAGGAGACATGTTAGGGTGGGATTGCTGGACCTGGAGAGTGATCGCTGTGGGTCGGGCAAGGGAGGCAGTTTCCAGGAAGTCCGGAGGACTCCCAGGTCTCTGGCTGAGCAGAGTAGGGGGTGGTTTTGCCGTTCATGAAAGCTGAGATCCAGTTGGCTTTTTTGGCAGTCAGTCGCACTGCCTGCAGTCAAGAAAACCCCTCTGTCCTCTGCACGCATGCTGCTGGGATCCGGCCACATGTCCCTCAAAAAGAGAGCCCCTGCCACTGTCTGCCTCCCCCAGCCACCCTGCTGGTCCCTCGTGACCGGTGTCCGTTTCAGCCCACCGGAGAGCCAGGGTCGAGACCAGCGCGCACACAGGGCTGAGGCTGACACGCTCACATGGTGGGTCTCCTGCCCTCTGACGGCTGTGCTCTCCCTCCTCCCCAGCTGCCTGGCTTAGAAGAGGCTGCTAATGTTCATAGTTCAGAATGGCCGCGGACAGAAAGCTGCAGGCCAGTTCCGAAGCTGGAAGGGCGGGCCTGTTTGCAGCTTCTTGTCCTCTCTGTGGCTGAGGGACGACGATGCTTACGGCAATTGGCTTCAAAGCCCTGGTGTGGCAGGGCCTGTCTCGGGAGCATGCTGATTAGCAAGAATTACAACTTCTGGAATTAGACAGTGGTGGTGGTTGCACAACTTTGTGAATATACTAAAACACACCGTACACTTTTAAAGGGATTTTATGGTACTTGAATTATATCTCAGTATAAATGAAGAAATAGATAAAGAAAGATATAGTGCGTGGAGGTAATTGCTATAAACAGGAGCACTGGGTCCAGGTTGATGATAAGGAAGAGAAGCCAAGTAACATCTTCAAAGGCTTTGACTCCCCTTTGTGGTTTCCTGCTTGGGGACGTTCTCAGCCCAGTGCTCTTCCCTAGTAATTAACTTCAGGCCATTCGGGTTCTTAGCCGTCCTGGGAGTAGGGCAGGAAGGAAAGGTCACTGGCGTCCTTCCTCGGGGACCTTTTTCTTCTCTGCTGAGCCTGGACGGAAAAACTTTGGGGTGGCTCTACCCGCCTGAGTGCTCTGGGAGAGCTTGCTCTTCCTCTGAAGTTTGGGTGTCTTTGCTAACCCCGGTCTGCCCTACCCCACTTCTCTCTGCCCTTTAGCGCCTCTCCCTCCCAATCCGGATATCAGAATCTGGGCTCTGTGCCCTCTCGCTTCCTCTTGGCCTGCCTGGGTTCTCATGGGTAAGAAGAAATGGGGGCAACTACCTGGTCTGTGGCTCAGCATTTGGTCGGAAGAGCTGCTGATGGAGGGACCAGGGCGCCCTCCTGTGACCATCAGCAGCATTGCTCCTTCCCGCCCTCCGGCCTTGAATTTTTTCCAGCTAGAATTTGAATGCTCAACTCTGGTAGTTGGGGCAGCCTTTTTCTTCCCCAAGAGACGCATGAGGAATAGTAAGCCCTTAAAATATAGGAGAAAAGAAAGAAGATAAGTTAAGCACAGAAATTAAGGAATAAAATGTTAGTGTTTATATTCTGTATCTTTATTTTAAAAGAGGCAGTGTGACCTAATGGAAAGTCCCATGGCCTGTGGAGTCGAGCAAACTCATCAGCTATGTGGTCTCAGCAAGGTGACCTCTCTGCTTAGTCCCTTCACCTGTAAAATGTACATAATTGCAAGGCCTACCTCATAGGAATGTTGTGAGAGAAAATTTAATATAGTTAAATACCTTGCACAGTTGCCTGCTATGAAGTAGGTACTCAGTACGTGCTGCTTCTTTT